GCCTGCCCTATCACTTCGCAACCCACCGTTTTTATCTGGTCGTCCAACATTCTCCTAATTATTGAGCGGCAGGAATAAAAAAGCTTGGGGATAGGCTTACAAAAAATCCCTGTGACGTTCTCATGATGGCTGTCATTAGGACAGACAATTCCAAAATATAAGACGACTTGGAATTTATTATATACAATCAATATTAGTGACAATTCGCCGTCGCAACTATTTCGCCATTTGCGCATTGCAACATACGGCGAACGTTCCCTCTCCTTTGATCTCGGACTGTGGCGTGCGTTCAAGAGGATTTGCCTTTTGGCCGACTTTCTAACCAACAACAGCTTATTTGTCGATGTGCAACACAAACGTCGCTTTGACGTGCTGACTTCCCCGGTGGTCGTCAAAATTAGTGCTCCGGCTTCATTTACAGGTATCCGACGTATCCTACCTGGTTCCCACTTTGTCAACATCCCTAAAACAGCTATTACAACACCGTTTGGTCTTTTTGAATTTGCGCGTATACCTTTTGGTCTTCAAACTGCAGGTCAAACCTTTCAACGTTTCACGCACGAAATTTTGCGAGGGTTGCTTTTTGTCCATGTTTATCTAGACGACATCTTGATTGCTAGACCCACCCCGGATGAGTACGCAGATCATCTGAGGGCCGTATTTTAACGTTTTCTGGGGCACCATATTGATCTAACCGGTATTTGGCCTTGGAATCTTTTCTAATGCCCACATAGGTCACCCGACTATTCGTTTTATTGGTGTCATCAACTATCATAACAGGTTCGCCCCCCATTATGAAACGCTTTACATCCACAGCCTGATTTACTCCTTCCTAGAGAAAAACCTGTTCCGCTGTCCGCCCACCGCCATTACTGCTTTCAGAAGTGCCAAGCAGGCAGCCGCTCACTCTGCAAAGTTTCCTTCTCTTGACCTCCACGAGAAAACGAAGTTTATTTTGACAACTGATGCTTCGAACGCTGCTGTCGGCGCTGTACTCACGCAAGCTATTAACAACGCATTTCAGTCGTTTCCTTTTTTCACGAAAAATGTACAGGCTGCCTAGAAGCGTTTCAGTAATTTCGGTCGTGAACTACTCGCAAGTAACATTACCATTTGACATTTCCGGCACTTACTAAAAAGTAGATCACTTACCATTCACAAAGATCATCAGCCACTTGCGTATATCTCCAACACCAAGCCCAATCACTTTCACTACGCGAGACACGTCGACTATACTGTATTTCCCAATTCATCGGCGACACAGGGCACCGCATGGTCAGACAATATCGTTGCAGACGCCCTATCCCGCCCAAACATCAACATTTTATACTCCTCCACGGGTTGGGTCTTGGAAAGCTTGCGAAACTTCATCAATATGATTCTATTTTTACGTCAATACTGTCTTTTCCTTCATTTCAAGTTTATTCAATTCCATCACATCTCCAGTCTGGAAAAATTCTTTGTGATATGCCCACCAGCGCAGCCCGACTAATCGTCCCCGAAGCTTCCCAAGGAGTTGTCTTCAGCCACTATCGTGGACTTTCATCAAGGAATTATGGCAACAAAGAGGTTGATGAATGCACACTTTGTGCGGTTATAGTGAACAAGGATCTAAAAGCCCAAGCCAATCAATACATCGCCTGTCAGCGCAGTAAAGTAACTCGGCATACGAACTCACTAAAGGCTTGTTTGAAGCTCTCGATATTTGGGTAACGCAAGTTCACCTTGATCTTGCTGGTCCTCTTTACCCATCAAACGGTTTAACTTATATTCTTACCACGACTGACCGTTTTACCCATTGGCCAGTAGCTGTACCCATTTCGGATACTTTGGCTAAAACGGTAGCCTTTTTGTTTTTATAGCACTGGGTGCGTGCCTTCGGCGTGCCCTCGGCGTGCCTTCCTCTGTTATTACTGACCACGGTTTCAGTTTGGCCTCTTCCGTGAGTTTTTTTTACACTAATTGGTTTTCATCCCATTTTGACAACCCCGTATCACCCCCATTCCAGTGGTCTGGTTAAACGTCTCCATCGCTACCTAGAATCTGCACTGACTGCTAAATGAACCAATCACCACTCTTCTTCTGTACCCCCCATTTTTCTTGCTATTCCTTCCACTATCAAGAAGGATCTTCACAGTCTACCAGCCGAACCAGTATGCGTTTCACCTTTACGTTTACTTGGTGAACTTGTTTCCGTTTCTGGCGCAGAGCTTGAATCACCCGTCACATTCTTCACCCGCCTGCTAACCCACCAGCTACCGCACCTACTCAAGCAAGCTTGTCATTCCGGTGACGCGTCCGTTTGTGCAAACACTTAAATGAATACGAAAATTAAAGTGACCCCCTTTCAATTCATTATTTTCATTTTTCGAACGTTTTCCCCTTTCAAGTTCAACATCCCACTAGGGGAGTACTGAAATGTTCTGTGCCTTCTGTTTCTGGTGTAAAATTACGCATTTCTTCAATTGCATAAATACTTCTGTTTGAATACGAAAATTTACAAAAAACGCGCGTTTTACAATTTCCGGTCAGTACAATCGTGGTCAAGTGCTTTGGCTTTCCATTATGCTTTTGCTTGCATTTGCAGTGGTCATTTGCGAGTTTCATGTACTAAGTTTGGCACCAAAACATAGCAGACTATCTTCGGACTTCATCATACGTGAGGAGTGTTCAAAAGGGGATCCCTTGACAACCATCATTGGAGTATTATTTATTCGCTGATCTTAGCCAACCATCAGCCGTGTTTGAATGGACTACTCTTAGTCTGTTCCATTTGACCCTATACGACATTGTGTGCTCAAAATAGCGCTATTAGTTGTTCCCCGTGCTACACACACCATCTAAAGTAGCTTCTAAGGCAGTCAGACCGCTACACCACCATCCGATGACGTAACCAAGAAATGTACGGCGCTTAATGGGCAGATCGAACTTCGACAGCCCACTTGCGATGGAGCGCATCCAGAACCATTTTACCAGTATAGGGGTAAATACATTGTGCGTCTAGCCGCCGGCGGGGTAATCCATGCCGATTCACCTCATATTGTTTGTCATCGGTCTCTCGGGCTAGCATTGTTTTACAATCAATAGTTCAGTTGATTCTGTACTCAGGACAAAGGTGCTGAACATGCATAATTGTGTTGCTCTTTCCGCGGGGCTTATCAACTACCGGAATAACTGGGTGTAGGATGACTTGGCCACTTACCTCCAAGAAACACCCCAAGCAAGGCCAATTTGGTTCTCAAGCAGTGCATCACGAATAGGGGGCGCTGCCATTCTCCTGTTCCGTTGTCAAAGCGAAGGCGAACCTCCAATATTTTGTTTGGTTGAAAATAAGAAGGAATGGATGCTGATGTCTTTTGTCTATAGGATGTTGGCTAATAAAAGTGTTTATTCCCAACTTGTGGGTGGCATGCCATCAAGCACTATCATAAGGCTACGGTCAGAATAAGAGCATGATTGGTGGGGATTTTGGGCACGGGGTTAGTAAATGGACAGCGTCATGGGGGAAGGGCATTATCTGATGTAGGCGTGGTAACCTATAAACCGGCGCGGGCAGGGAAGCACAGTTAGTGCACGATTTTTGGAGAAAATATCGAGCAAGATCGGATCGTTAAAAATGGAAGGTGGCGGGCCGAAAACGAAGCAAGGGAGGGAGAAACAAGAGGCTTCCTGTCAGACACATTACAAAAAATTTTAAACAGTAAAAACGTAGGAACTAAAGCATCAGGTCTGGCGAAGCAGCAGAGTTGGCGTCATCCAGCCGGCCCTACTGAACTGAAACCTAAAACCACCGCTGAAACCCCGTGGCCTTGGACTGTTGAGCTCATGGTCAGGGTAACTAAAGGCGTTAGTAAACATGATTAAGTGGAGAGCTCAGCAATTTGGTTAAATGGTCGAAGGACTATCGGAAACATGGTTTGGTAATGATAGGTTTATTCTCAGGCCTCTATGAAGCATACCAAGTAAGGCCTGATCAAATCATCGCAGTTTAACAGTGAACAGGTAAAGGCATGAGAGAGGTGGAGGCAAATCTCGGGGGTTCGAGTATAATGTGACAAGCAGTTGTAAACTGCAGAAAACAAATAATAGAAACATGAGGCGGGAGGCACGAATATTTCGGCGATAAAACGGTTTAGTTAAACTAAAACTAATTACTACAATTGGACTTGGGCAGTTGAACAAATGGCCAGAGTCGAGAAAAGCCTAGGCAAAGAAGACTACGTGAAGACATTTGTGTTAAGGGTACGTGGCACGTCGCGAAATTAAGATGGATTTTGAAACTGGATAGACTCGCTGTTATATTCGTTGCGCGAAAATTATTCGAGAATGTGTTGCTAATTCTTTGAGCTTTGTGGATTAAATTTTGGAATTTTTAATGGGGACAACCCGAAATTGCAACGGAGCACCAAAATGGTTAGGTCACGGAGAAGTGTTCTGCGGGTTAGAATTAACTCCTCGCGGGAGCAGTTGTGGCTAGGTGAGCAGTTTTTTTGAATATGCAAATAAAGCTCCGGGGATGAGAGGATGATCGAGGGGATGAAGACAAGTTGCTGGTGTACCATCCGATGGGCTATGGCAGCGTCGTACCGTCTTATGCACCGCTATACTTTGTCCATTGTCACCCTCCAGTAGACGTCATGGCTGAGGTGATCGCCCGAGGATGGAATGCAAGAGCTCGTGCAGAGGGAGAACGTGTAGGTGATTTTTATATCGTCCTCAAAGAGTAAAGCCTTACCATGGGATATGGCGTCGAAGAGGTCATTGATATATTGTAAGAAAACGATGGGGCCTAGCACGCTTCCTTCGATGGCTCCACTAGTGATCGATAGCGGAGATGATCGTATGCTCCCGATTGGCGTTATTTGCGTCCTGTCTGAGGAGCTGGAAGTGAACAAGTGAGGTAAGGTCCCAGTGATGCCAAGGGTATTACGCTTTTGTAGCAGAGAGGCGTGAGAGACTTGGTCAAAGGCTGTTTGAATGTCCAGATAGACTGTTACAATGGAGTATCCAGCGTCTTGGACTGCATGACGGTCTTAACGAAGGGAAATTGGAAGCCAATAACGGATCTCTGAGATGAAAATCGCTACTGTCGGTCATCCATGGCTTTTGTAGCTAGGACAACTGATTAACGGGCCTTCGACCAGACATTCAACGGTTTACATTAAAAGAGGGGTATGATGGATCCCTCTGTAATTGTAAGTAGTTTGCCTGGATCCGGATTTAAAGTGAGGGCGAACAACAGATTGCTTCCACTGGGAGGGACAATTCCAGAGTTGACTGAGTGGTTAAAAAGATTTAAGACAAGCGTTTCGACATCCTGTCCGCCATGTCTCAAGACACGTGATGGTATGCCGTCGCCCCTTAGCACGGCGGAGTCTTTGGGGGTTTGAAGAAGGGCTGATACATCAGCTAGGGTGATGGTCACGCTGATGAGAGAGGGGCGGTTACTCTGTCGTAGAGATGTGAAATATGCGGCGGGGATTGTAGGATTGGACTTGGCAGAAATAGGTAAGTAGCAGCTGGCAAAGTAAGCGTTCAAGTGTTCGACCATATTAACAGGATGAGTGATAAAACTTCCGTCGACGGAGCGCAGACAAGTGACTCGGTGTTAGTTTGGGATACAGCGCCCACAAAATAGGTGACGAGTAATTTTACAGCTAGAAGGCGCGGTGCTCTGTTCGCGGAAATCGAGGGATACCCGTAAGGACTTCCAGTCAATTGAGAGCTTGTTGATGAGGGGTAATAATGAGAAATCCCGAGATTTTCCGTAATCTCTGCCGGCTGGGAGATTTTACTGTCCAGGGCTATCATTAACTTACCATGTCTAAAGGAACAGCGTCATTTTAAACAGATTTCGGAATTCCGAATATATAAAATTAAACGCTACAAATCTAAGCAAATGCTTTCCTGTTTGCAGGTGCCGTTTTGGGGGAATTTCGGTGTGCCCCCTATGGACCGGCCATAGGCGGCACGAGGTGCGTGCAGCATCGTTCTGATTGCCGTTTTGCTATTATTCGGCCACCACAGCCCCGACGAGCAGCTGGTAGTTAAGATTTCATGGAAGTAAGAGGGATCTCAAATTACAGCTGTGTATTATTTCACTGTATCGCAAAATTCAACACAACCTTCCAGTCGCCCAGTATTACAAATCCGATACCTCATAGATGAGGTGCAAAATTTTACAGAACATCTTTAAGTCAGCCCGCCATGACAGACATCAAATCTTGTTGTTCGTTTTCTAGCCGGTGGTGAACGATTTACCCTAGCTTTTGGACGTTCGCCACAGAAAGCCTCTCCGTTGACGCGTCTGCAATGAAAATAATTGAACTGCGTTATCCTTTGAAGCTCTTCCGGCCATTTTTTGAAATTTTAGGAGTATCGAGCAGCAGGTAAACACTAAAATACACCAGCTTTTGCCAGTCCAGTTGAACAGAAGACACTTCTCCAGTTGCCTTTCTGCACTTCATAATTGCGGTGAGTAGCTGAGTTAACGCGCTTCTGTCCTTATTAGAAGCGTCGCGGACTATATACAAAGGACGGATGGTGGTAATCTGGTAAATTCTGGTGGGTTCTTCCACCAAGTAGACTTCCAACCCGGTGGCCAAATTGTATGTAAACTGATTGGCATCACTTCGCCTGTTGTTATGGTTTACAACAACAACAAAAGGATGACTAAGAAAACGGAATATTGAACGACAGAGCATGATCCACAGTTGGATACGCAGATTAATGTAGGGTCGCGTCCCAGTAAAGTTTATTTGAACCCTCAAATTTGTCATTTTATTCTGGGCTTCCAGGAGCTGCTTAAACAAAACTCGTTAGAACCCGCGATGAGCACAAGTCTCACCAGCCTTTTGGCGCGTACCGGAGCAATGGATTTTCAAAATGGTGGGTGGATCTTTTAAAAATCCCTCCAGTTCATCCAACCGACTTGCTTAACCGGATAAAACAGGATTCGGTTTTTCGGTTATCGAAGGTACAGCGGTTAAAATTCTCCGAGTTAGGTGCGGATAGTTCCAAAATGGAAGTCATGGGGGTAGCCAGAAAAGGCAGTATGAAGAAAGGCAGGTCGATGGAAACGTTAAGGTACGTGGGAACGTTTTGTGATGTTAAGGTCTCTTACTTTGTAGACGTTCAACTGCACGCATTTCACGCGGAGAAGCAGAGACCTGGAATAAATTCTTTAAACTGTTTCATACTGTTTCCTCTTTTGCACTGACAGTCCATCTTTTCTTGGTTTATGCGCTTCAACCATTTAACTCGTTTTTTTCTTGGCTTGTGCACAAATGCAATTTGAACGTGCGGGCTTCCTGGCATGTGCACAACTAGCCAATCAAAATGCTGGCTTGTGCATGAATTGCATGTCAGCACCGGGCCCCGAAGCTGGGTTTTGATTGGCCTGTGTTCTGACGAATCGAGGATGGCACTCTTGCGCCCGTAGGCAGTTCGTAGTCCACCTGTTCGATCAACGTGACGGTCGACTATTGCCTGAGGTCGGCCTTTGGGGACTTATGACGGGCATTGACCGTGAATTATATTCTTAGTGTTCAGCGAATCCTATTACAGGGATTATTGTGGTAATTAAGTTTCGTACGTATATCGGTACAACCCGACAAACTAGAAATCCAGAATTCAGCGAAGAGTGGCAACCAGCACGTATATATTCGAATTGGCGAATATGTACAGCATATGGAATATTAAAACAAGAGAATAATGAATAGAGCAATGAATAGAGCATCAGTCATGTTCATCACATTATGTTATTCGGTATCGCTTCAAAGGGTACAATTTTCTTGTTTAGCCACACCACAACTACTAAACCGCGCATCTTCATGCACCGATATTCCCTTAACGGAATTTCCTGAAGAAGCTCACAACCTCTCCAACCTCGGGTTTTCTGAACATGCAGTTGTCAATTTTGGACTCACGGTATCAGACAAGTTCCTCTACATATTTAAGCAAAGGAAGGCTGGAGGAGAGGATGTGAGTTTCTACGGTTAGCCGTAGAAAATTAAGTCTGGGACAATAATCCGAAACAACCTCGCTCCCGCCGACTAACATGTCTCCATGAAATGAGCAGCAACTCGAGCTTGAGGCACTTCATGGATGGCCCGACGTGCGCACAGTGATGGAGAATCATAGTCGCATACACATGGAACTGCATGAAGGCGCGCAACCGCATTGAAACAAATCTTTGAGCAGATTACCGATCACTCAACAAACACACCCAAGTAGATATACATGTACGCCAACCTTAATACAATTGTATTAAAGGTGATTAATGACATTGACAACTGCAAACCTAATGGCGCAGGGCATCGCAACCAGTGGACAACACGCCGACTCCACGCAACACCTCAGACCATCTTTCATGCATCATTTGCGACATAACCCAGGTCAAACGTCTACTGAGCCGCCCGAACACAAAGCTCCAGGAGTACATTTGCTAACAAAGGGGGTAGCATCAGTCATCGCGAAACTGTCCCAGATCCTTCAGGTGGAGTTCTAATTGTTGGGAAATAGGGTCTACAGAAGATCCCATAAAAAAGTGACAAAAAACCGCGCATTCATTGTCTGTTCCACAAAATACAACATTTCTAGCATGAACACTGGAGACATGTGAGTCCACACAGTAGGTCGTATTCCATGAACCTCATTGTTACTCGTAAGTCTCGGGCCGGAAAACTGGAGTGATAGGCACCGACGGACATCATCTTCACTTTCGCATAACTTTCGATTGAGATGACCACTCCACATTCTTGTCCGAATGACTTGCTGCTGCTAGGTAACTAGTGTCTACCTTTGGCTTGGTGACGGCGGGAGACCACAGTAATGATAAAAAGGGAATCGGTCAGCTGTAACACCCTTACGGTGCCTAGCTGCCATGCCATCGGGGCGAGATGGCCCAAGTGGTTAGAGTGTGAGTTACTGATCGGAAGGTCCGTGGTTCGAACCCGAACTCTGCCTCTCGACTTCCCCTGTCTAAGCATGGGCAACCTGGAAGTATCCCAGCCCTCATGCTTCCTTTGGGTTGCATGGCAGTTAGGCACCCAAAGGGTGCTACAGCTGAACGATTTTTCTCGCCATGCCATCCAAAGTAAACACGAGGGCTGGGATACTTCCAGGTTTCCCAAGTCTAGATAGGGGATGCCTAGAGGCGGAGGTTGCGTTCGAACCACGTACCTTCCGGGCAGTAAATTCGTACCCTAACCATAATGTCCACCTTGCTCTCTAAGTAAGTGACTTCAGGTCGTCTATTGACTCAACCTTGGCTCTTTTCACCGACCCAAAACTGAAACAGGAACCCAGCATGACTGAGGACCAACGTAGACTTCAACGTTGCAACATCCATCTCACATTGGGTGAACCAAAGCAAACGAACACACTTATAACTTCAAGGGCCAAGGCATTTGCACCACTATCATCATCATCAATGACTGCAGCACCAGCAGAGAATGCGGGTACTTCAGCGCCGTACAACTATATTGATTTGTTTACATATAGCTATTCAATGGTAAAAAGAAGGGGACCTAGGGATAGCTTACAACAAACGTCCAGGGCGCCTTCGCTCTTATTACCCTGTCAGACAATCTGAACAGAAACTGACAGCATAAAAATCGCTGACATCAGTTAGTCACCATTTCGTCCAGTGTCTTCAGCTAAGCACAGAGGGGCACCTGGACTTCATTCCGAAAGGCAAACAGCACCGGCGGCACCCACGCCTCTCACACTATTCTTGGTTTCCTTTTGCTTTCTCATGCTCTGTCCAACTCTATGTTCGCCCTACTTCGAATTAAGCGTAGAAGACAACAGTTCTCATCAGGTGATGATTCAGCCTGTGTAACACGTGGTCAAGGCATCTTCACTAGTACTGGATGCATTTTTTGGGTAAATTGCCATATCCCTCACGAAGGAGCCGTTTCCTAATTACCAATTCGCTGGTTCTAGTTGACTCCAGTTATGGTTCCGAGACATCCGTCAGCCAATTGCTTAGCTCACAAACAATGTTCCTATGCGCATTTCCAGTCACTGCAGCATCATTCACCTGGGACAATGAGAATAAGGGAATGAGAGGAGGCAATAAATGGATGGGAGGAATTCAGAGCTAAGCACTAAAGATGATAACTTTGACAGAGAACGCCACTGATCGCGTGACACGGCCATATCTGTCGTTTATTTCTGAAGAGCATGGTCACAAACATAAAAGGCAAATGCAAGCGATAGATGTGGAAGGGCTACAGACGGATATCACACAAAACGAGAAAAGCTTCTTTCCAGTTCCAACCAGACAAGATGATTCCTAACGTTTGTAAGAACGTTTGGTGTGGAACCACGCATGTAAAGGTCATCAGCCGAAAAAAGGCCAAGCGATGCTAAATTTTCTTCCAGGCGTGGTAAGCGCTAGCACAGTCAAGACTCGCATATCAGGCGCAAAGTGTCCGTCATACTGAAACAGGTGTGAAAATCAACGACAAGAATGAACACTTAGCACCATTTTTCACGTATAAAAGTGTCGTAAGTACACAGAGAGCCCAAAATGGCAAGCTGACAAGTCAATGACTGTGACCTTAGGAAGTTCCTCTGCAACCCGATTATGACGTGCACATATACCATCATGTGTATTCCAGCAGGACTGCAGAATATGCACCGAATTCTCCGGTTGATCAGTCTCCACGACAGATCGTCTGGCCACCATGACCACACCAGGCGCTTCTAAATCGTCCTAAGTAGATTTTGTCGGAGCTGGAAACAGCGGATAAATATCGGTGGAAACACTCGTTATGGAAACTCAAGCCATCGATTCGACAGAGGCAAAGTGACCAACTCTCGTAAACAGCGACCGTCAACGCTGTTGTGCAGACTATCACCCCAAGCAGCCACCAGCTCTTCCTTGGTGTTTACGCGTGCACCTTGGGTTCGGATTGGAAGGCTGAGATCCCGAACACTTGACACATGCGGAAACATTGGTCAGATTGCGTAATAATTGAGACTGGGAAGACAGGTTTTCCGTACGCGATGTCCGCTGCATCGTTTGTACTCAGACTTGGAGTACCAAGTCTCCATGTTGTTTACTGACATGGGTGTGGCTGGTCGGGTTGTCCTTCGGTAGACGTAGCCAGCTACGAATAGATTGCCTGATGTAATTGTGGAATCTTTTGAGCGTGTTTCGGTGGACTTGGCCGAGCACGAACGATGTCAACTTCGGTATTAGGTAGTTCGTTGTTATCTCCATTTTTTTCAACGGGACACGCGTCACCATATCCAATAGTTTGAGCAGCCACGGTCGATCGTTGCAGACTCCCTTCCCTTTCAGTGAACCTTGGAATTGAGGAAAACTGCTGCAGCGTCCTCATAGGAATGGGTGATGTATTGAACTAGATGTGACAGCTCTCCAAACGCCTCGGCATATCTGACCATTGTGTCGTGTGAAACCGAATCAAATGCTTTCGAGGTATCAACAAACGTCAAGCTGAGGTTAGAGGCAGTCGCTGGAGGGTGACAAATCAGGGCTTGTGACAGAGATATGGTTTCCAAACAGCCGTCTCGATTTGGAAATGCAAACTGGAGTGAGGGAAGTTTCAATCTACGGCTCGGAGTATCTGCTTTCGCTTGGCCGCCACCTGATGAACTAGTAGACAACTGCTTCGGAGTTTGGATGCGATACTGTTCCCCTTAGAGAGGACGAATGATCCCGAGGGTCATCTAATCCCTTTGTTTGTTAATGGTAGTGTGAGGAGATATTTCCTTGTTGGCTTCGGACCCACAGTATAATGCCACGTTGCGGGACATCGTACAGACCTACAAGAGTTCAAGTTAAGACACTAAAGTTTGTGGAGTACTGTACATCTGTCGGACTTTATGTTGGCTTTGATGACAGTGAGACAAACAAATTTAACCTATGAATCTGGAAGACCGGAATTGCGTTTCTGAACTCGTGCCACTTATGGCACAAAAAGGTACATAAAGGAATACAGCACAAGCCGCACTGTTGTGCCTTCTAGACTTGGCATCCGCGGATGGAGACTAGGAGACCTCTTTAGGTGTTGAAACACTGTTATCTTAGAACTTTAGCTGTAGTCGGCTAGTTGATCAGCGATGATGAGGAATGTTCCCACCACTGCGGGTTAAGGAGGCTTTGTCAGGTCATTCAGTTTTTTCATGCATTATATGGAGTGGTGTGAACCTAGAGCAGGGCAAAACGTGGCACGGATGAGAGGAATGAAGTTACGAGATGTCAGAGTGCTGTTCCGGCTGCCCACCTTCAAGAATGGGTCCTCTTGACCCTCTGTGCTTGAGTGGAGACGTTAAAAAACGGGGTGTCTAAGCGATGCAGTTAGCTTTCATTCGGACCACCCGATTGAATGTTGAAGGTGTAGACACCTCCGTTGCTTGTTGTAAGCAATCACCAGACTTGTCTTCTCTTCCTGTCCTTTTCACTAAAGAACCTTGAAGGAATTGACATTGCTCTATGGCATTGAAGTATTGGTATTCCACACTAGCGTTTCTGCTAGTGGTAATTTTTCTCGTTAAGTAAATATGCCAAATGTTCGACTAAACTCACTCTCTTGGAAAGGATTTCAAGTGACCTTTTGACAGTATCATGACTTTCGGCGCCTACCGATTACTTCTCTTCTATCCAACTGCTTTTAGGTTCTGCTTGATATTTTTTGGGTTGTTATTTCTTCAGCATGGAGGAGAACTCTGAAAGATCAAACCTCAGCTGGAGTTCAACTTATAGCTATACAACAGATTTACACCCGGATACGATTGAGTTTTCACCCAGTTCCCACATCGCTCTTTGTGGCTCCTACGAACTGAATGAGGTCAGTTTCATTTTCTCGTCATATGTTCGGAGAATTTTGTGCTCAAGTTACCTGTTATCACAAGGGGTGGTTTTTATTTAGCGCATAACTACCTTTCGTATGTGTTGACATCAGTGAACGTTTTTGGTTCCCTTGAAGTGGGTTTGCCTACAGCGAAGTTCACGTTTATTGTGGCATGAAAGTCGTGACAGTTGGGTGAAGGTGCTCTGCGAGATGCACTACGGACTCAGCTGATTCCAAACTGGGCTTCATCTGGTGTTCATAAAGCGTCGATATCCACCGATTGCTGTACTCTTGGTATGTTCACAGCATGAGCCGGATTATGCTGAACCTAGTTGTCCCACTGTTTGTTCACGTCAGCTTTAAATCATGTACCAAGGGCACATTTATTACCGGTGCTACAGTTTCGCTCACTGAAAATGGTGGACAAAGAAAACATGGCCAATTGTCTGATCAGTTAGTTGGAGGGACACCGAACTGCGCGGGCAAATGATACTCCGAGGTTGTCCAGGCCGAGGAACGGGGTTTGGTTGAGCCTTTGACCCAAAAGTCTGATACACAAGGCAGTAGGACGATGTAGGGTTTTGTTCGGGGATCCCGCCCCTAGCCTCTGACCTAAAAGTCTGGCAGCGGACAGTAGGGTTTTCTTTGGGAACCCTGCCCGGAGCTGATGACTCAATAGTATGACCTGCTCGGCTGCAGGGGGTTGGCCTAACCCGAAGGCTCAGGGAATAAGGCATTGCGGTCCCATTCCTGATGAGGCTGCGCACAGCAGATACCTTTTGAGCAGCACCGGACTCTTTGGTTTAGGGCGTGTTGGATAATGCGCCGGCGGTCGGAGTGTGCGGTTTTTAGGGCCGACCTTTTCTAACCCGTCCTTCCCCGGGTGAAGGCAGCATCGCTGTTTCCATAAATAAAAACATGCTGATCGCCTGGGGCAAACACCCTACTGCCTTCACACACCTATCGCACAGGACAGTACAACTTTACCCCCAGACCGCCTTGTAGCACGATTACACATAGTACGGGGTCTCGCTGCTCTTGGTCTGGCTGCTCCCTTTTGGCCTTTCTGGCATGGTTGCACCTTGTGAAGCGAACCTCCAGCCAGTGTGGCTCCCGGGATCATTGCAGCACTGAAGCCCGACCACCCTGTCAAGTTGGCAGCTTTAAGTCAAAGTAAGCCTCCAAATATTACATTTATTCGTGTCGCGGAATGTGGAAATGTATGCTTTCTCCGAACAGTTCTCATTAAAACAATCTACTACACAGAGAAACCACCATAAGCTAGCTTTTGGAAAGTTTCACATTCAATTGTACGATGGACCACTCTTGTTAGTGTTACGATAGGTCTGTTCATCCAAGGAGACAAAATTCCATCAGAGCAGTTAACCGGTTGCTTCACTGTTCACGTCAGCTTTAAATCATGTACCAAGGGCACATTTATTACCGGTGCTACAGTTTCGCTCACTGAAAATGGTGGACAAAGAAAACATGGCCAATTGTCTGATCAGTTAGTTGGAGGGACACCGAACTGCGCGGGCAAATGATACTCCGAGGTTGTCCAGGCCGAGGAACGGGGTTTGGTTGAGCCTTTGACCCAAAAGTCTGATACACAAGGCAGTAGGACGATGTAGGGTTTTGTTCGGGGATCCCGCCCCTAGCCTCTGACCTAAAAGTCTGGCAGCGGACAGTAGGGTTTTCTTTGGGAACCCTGCCCGGAGCTGATGACTCAATAGTATGACCTGCTCGGCTGCAGGGGGTTGGCCTAACCCGAAGGCTCAGGGAATAAGGCATTGCGGTCCCATTCCTGATGAGGCTGCGCACAGCAGATACCTTTTGAGCAGCACCGGACTCTTTGGTTTAGGGCGTGTTGGATAATGCGCCGGCGGTCGGAGTGTGCGGTTTTTAGGGCCGACCTTTTCTAACCCGTCCTTCCCCGGGTGAAGGCAGCATCGCTGTTTCCATAAATAAAAACATGCTGATCGCCTGGGGCAAACACCCTACTGCCTTCACACACCTATCGCACAGGACAGTACAACTTTACCCCCAGACCGCCTTGTAGCACGATTACACATAGTACGGGGTCTCGCTGCTCTTGGTCTGGCTGCTCCCCTTTGGCCTTTCTGGCATGGTTGCACCTTGTGAAGCGAACCTCCAGCCAGTGTGGCTCCCGGGATCATTGCAGCACTGAAGCCCGACCACCCTGTCAAGTTGGCAGCTTTAAGTCAAAGTAAGCCTCCAAATATTACATTTATTCGTGTCGCGGAATGTGGAAATGTATGCTTTCTCCGAACAGTTCTCATTAAAACAATCTACTACACAGAGAAACCACCATAAGCTAGCTTTTGGAAAGTTTCACATTCAATTGTACGATGGACCACTCTTGTTAGTGTTACGATAGGTCTGTTCATCCAAGGAGACAAAATTCCATCAGAGCAGTTAACCGGTTGCTTCACCATACCCGTCGGGGGCGAGATGGCCCAAGTGGTTAGAGCGCGAATTTACTGACCGGAAGGTCCGTGATTCGGATCCGACCCCCGCCACTCGACTTCCCCTGTCTAGGCTTGGGCAACCTGGCTGTATCCCAGCCCTCGTGCTTCCTTCGGGTGGCATGGCAGCTAGGCACCGGAAGGGTGCTACAGCTGAACGCTTTCTTTTCTTTTCTTTTTCTACCATACCCGTCATTGCAGCGAGCAGCCTGGAAAGCCGAAATATCGTCTTGACTTTGGGTGATTTACGGAAGCGGTGGCTGTTGCTAATTAGTGCAGCTTACTTTACTGCCTATATTTTTGTCACACGAAATATGCAATTGCAAGGAAGGTTGAAATTTGAGATTCGGGAATCCCTGTTACGTCTGCGTTCTTTGGAAATTTAACGGAACAGGAGCTGTTGTATAGGGTGCTGTTTGAATTTCTACAACATTATTATCCTCATCATGTATTGCATATCGCTCCCATAAAAAATCATCTGACACCTAGTTGACCCTATAAAATGAACTGAGGCCAGTCAGCGAACACCGTCGTTATACGGGGTGCAGTCTGTTAAGACAGCTTTGGTCTGTGTGGACGACAAAAGAAGACCCTATACGGGCCCTACGTTTGTGTTTGAAGGGCCGCCATATTACACAACTAGCTTCAGTTTCCTCTTGTATTATTTTGTTAAAATAACTTCATTTGGATTTGCTAATGTCGTTGGTCCCATCAGGGTTTCCATCAGGAAAACACGCGAATTAATCATCGTCAGAGACAACTTCTGTGTTAGCATTGGTGCTTCACTGTCGTACAACCACCCTAATTAATAGCATTTTCACCGTTTTACAGCGAAGGGACCACTGAATAGTTACAGGAGTTCATGATGTAATCGCACAACTCTGATGGTCAGCAAAAGGGATCAGTCAACAGCATTTCCAAAAACAGAACACACCATAAAGGAATAGTATAACGTATAAATAGGGCATATGGTACAGTCTTCAACGTGAATTGTCTTTAAAAATCGTTCACCTGACTGAATAATGCCAAGGTGATCAGCTGCAAAGCTATTAATAACGGTAAGCATAATTTTAACAGTTCACCGCGCTACATGCTTTTATGATGCTACATTCGTCTGAGGTTTCTGGTTGTGACCTATATTATAGCATCTCCGTGGACATCGGTTCTCCAGTTTACAGTTGACGTGAAAAGTATCGTAGACGACTGCTGCAAACATACGCTGTTTACCCACTGCCATTCTTCACTTAAGTGGGAAACTTCGCTACGAGAAGGCCCGAATAAGCTGAGGATAGATATTTTAGTAGCATCTTAACAGCATTTGACATGGCTGAACTGTTTTCGAGCACATTCGAACTATGCTGATCGCCTCGACACCAATCCAACGGCGGTAGCAGGTCCAACATACAGTTATGCGACAACCATGTTTAACGGGATACTACTGATGCCTTCCAGTAGGGCGGTGCGTTCGTTCAAGATATCTTCGTAAATTTCAAATTCTTCAGGCTGTGACGGATGTTAAAACACGCAATGGCTGTGGTGATCATGAATGTACTGACCGGAGATTTTCGGTCGTTGGCGGGCTTGTGTCTGTGTCTTCCCTTCTACCAATGCATAACCGCTCCGAATGCCTTCATTGTGTCGGGGCATTCTATTTGTCTTACCTATCCGTTGTCTGGTTACAAATGCGTGGCGTTTATTATTTAATTCAATTGGAATGAAACTATCCTCGTATAAATGGGTCAGCCCGGTCGTACTGAGTGGACTGCCAGTAATCACCAACACATTTGGCCACTATGTATAGTAATGATGTTATTCATATTGGACCTGTTCCCATGGACTGCAGTATCTTCCTGGTCATGGATATTGAGACCCCTAGGAAGTCACAAACTGGAGTTGCATATAAGACGGTTAGGGAGAATTAATAAGGGACAAACTGTTATGAAGGGTGTGATTAGGTTGAAAATAAGTGAGATGACTCAGTGGTTAAGGTTCGAACTTACTGGCCTGAAGGTCTTTGGTTCGAAGGCAACCTCTGCATCGCAATCGCTCCTGTCTAGGCTTGGACAACCTGGAACCATCTCGGCCTCTTTCTTCCCTTCGGGGGGCATGGCACTCGGTACCGGCCTTCGTGCTTCCTTCGGGTGGCATGGCAGCTCGGTACCGAAAGGGTGCTACAGCTGAACCATTTTTACTTTGTCCTTTGCACCCCCACCCCGCACCCCGTGGTGCGCGAATAGATTGGCATATTTGTTTGCGTTGGTACTAGAAAGTTATTACCGTCATTGATGGTGAAGCAATACCTCAACCGACCATTCTATTTGCTGTTTTATTTCTTCATTTAAATTTATTACTGATTTGACTCTGAATATTCGCACGACTCAAACTGACTCAACCACGCATTTCCTTATCGACTTTACTTCAGATTACCGGGATACGTTGCGGAAGCTTATATTCATTCAGCTCCAAGGAGGGGCTTGATTTTTTCGTAGACGGCAATTATTTATGTCCAGGTGTGCTTGACCTCTCCTGGGTCGATAACAACACTGTGCTATCCGCTCATGCGGATGGAACTCTTGGGGTGTGGTTGCTGGATGGTTTGGCGATGAGGCCTTGTTTTTACGAGGTTCACCCGGGCTGTATTCTGCTATCCGTTGAAAACCACCACGGGAAGTAGGTTGTGTCACCTGTTGGCCGATTTTTTCAATTCTGGATTGTCCTCTCTGATTCAGACGGAAATGTGCACCTGTGGGAGCTCACACAAGGCATCGCGAGTACACCGGTAAAAATTCGGGCGTTTTGTGCGCATCAATTTGAGGCCTGGTGTTCTTCTGTGGACTCTCTGCAAGACCATGTTTTCTACTCTGGCGGGGACGACGGGCTTTGTCACATGTGGGACACGAGGCAATTATCTCACGCCGTCTGCACTTTGAAGTGAGTGGTCTATTTGTTGTGGATTTCGTAAGTCTATCGTTGTTCTTGCTCACTTACGCTTCCCTCACTTTTCGTCTGTCACTACTCTAGCTACATGATGGATAGCATGTCTCAGACAGCAGGCTTAGCGTACCGTACCAATCTGCTAACTACTCGTCCGACTCAGTGCTCATTTTCACACACACACACACACACACACTTCTCATATGGACTATGAGAGGTTCATTGTGTTCTGTGAACACTAGACACTAAGCGGGTTGATGCTGATATGACATATGAATGATTGACGGTACCGTGAGCATATCTCCCAAACTTACGGTATCACGAGATGGTTCAAGTGGTTGGAGTGCAAATTTACTGACCGGAAGGTCCGTGTTTCGATTTCCCCTGTTTGAGATTTGGCAATCTGGTAGTACCTCAGCCCTCGTGCTTCCTTCGGGTAGCATGGCAGCCAGGCACCGGAAGGGTGTTGCAACTGAACGATTTTTTTCTACAGCAACACGCATTCGCTCAAAGATGCATACTCAGCCTGCTGTTGCACGAAGCTAAAGTGGATGGTTCTGTCGTGTTTTTGCGTGGACGGATCGTCTACTAACCTTGACTTTGTCAGAGCGTGCGTTTCTATCGGACATAACAGCATGCACTTGGGTCGTGCTTCCGCCAGATCCAATTATTCTACTCGTTTGCACTGCATACAGTTGAATTGTGTTGGCGGGAGACATTGTGTAGTGGAAGACAACAGGAAACTGGTATGACACCCCATTCACATGTAGTAACCGGATAAATCGCCATACGGATATCCTGCGTATGTGAACTTATCAATCAAGTTGGATTCAGTTTTCAATAAATGAGTGATTAAGAAGAACTCGACCACGTTAGAGTCCTTTGGAAAGTGTAGAAGATGTCTCATGAGAACAATCAAGGCCAACCAGTGCAGTCCAGTGGTCAAGCTACCAACTTGTAACATTCCTCGAAAGATTAATAAACATGGGCTCCATGGTTGACCTTTCCTTACGTATGGCCTTATACCTCATCAGATTGGGTCTCACTAAAATGCGGCCTCGAAGAAAGTCCAATGTTGCACATTTATCTGGGTTGCAACGATCATTTGAACCATGAAATGAATCAGGCATGGAGCACCGTAATTTAGAAGTAAACGTTGTCTGGCCTGAAGAGTTATCGGAAGTCTCCAGTGTCGAAATTAAGTGGGACAAATGAGAACAGACATCGGCCCTTCTAGCATGCAACTCATCTTCGGATGCGTGCGGGTGCTTCGTCGAATTTGGCCCGTTTTCGACAACCATCATGCACGCCCCGTTGTTGTTAGGTTTTGTGAGTTATTCACCACGAGGTGGACAACGTATGACTTGGCAGGAGGGCGTGGAAGAGATCACAAAGATTTTGATGTCAACACTGATGTTGCTGCTTCTGATGATGATCACATTTGTAATAACTATCTTCGCTATCTGTTTCACGCTTGTTTTTATTTTGGTGTCTTCAACGTTTCCCGCGTTTTCATTGGATTTCAGGCATGAAATGGGAGTATGCAGTGTTCGTAATCACCCCACACTTTTGAACATCATATCAACGGGAAGGTGAGGACATTTCTTCTGGATTGCCGTTATATTGTTTTTTGGTTCGTCTTCTAATGTTGGCTTGTTTAAATCGTGGTTAGTGAATGATCTATCCAACTTTTGTTCAAACACGAGAAACTCGAACAACATATGCGTTTCACTCACGCTTTGGCTTTAAACTGATAACCTATTAGTGAGTGTACGAACGTGTGATGCATGAACACTACATAGTGGTAACTCATTGTGTTCTGACTACCACTTGTCGATGATGGTGTCCATGTAAAATTCAGTTAGTTATTTTATGGCACTGAAATTGAACTGGGTTAGTGATTCGTATTCTCTCAGACTTCACCACAACAGGTTATGCAGCCCAAAAACTCGGCCGCCTTGTTCCAAAGTATGTATTGCGAGGGCCGTTTGTTTCATCTTCCCGTGTCGCGAAACTGGTGTTGCGTCAAATCTAGCCTATCCAATGGGAGAAAATTCAACTTCATTTCTGGTTGCATCATGTCTGGGTGAAATGCACTCTGCCCTCTTTAGAAGAATGCTTTCACTAGTTTGTTTGACTGTAGAGTAACTTGGGTATCCTCTGCTGCAGTCTTACGGCAAGATTTGCCGTTGGCATAGGATGGTAACTTATTCCCATGTCACCGAGGCAATGACTTTAGAGAGCCGGATATTTGGGATCAGTATCGAGTAACGGTGATGAAACAAGACATTCGATACCAGGTGGTGCCCTTTCGAACACTTTCCGACTGCAATGCGTGCAAAGTATCTAGGTGTAGTGGACGTACGAATCCGAATAGGCAATGTAGTTTCACAAAGCAAAATGCGTAAATGCTTCCTTACGTCACGTGGATAAACTCGTCGCTGAGGTTTTTTAAGTGTGACTACTCCATGTAGCATGTCTATTAATCAGAATTGTTAAACAGGTAACCGGCGTGGTCGAATTCCGTCGACTGGCATGTAACTAACCTCCCAACATGGATACCAGAACTGTTTTTCAATGACTGATCAGTCGATGTCTATATTTCGAGAGAGAATGTACAAGTTGAAAATGTATATTACGCTCTGACTGCGTCTATGTGATCGAACGGGTCGAAATTCAGAAAGGCTTATATCGCGGTGAACTTTTGGTTCATGGTTCGTCCCATGCATCTGCGGAACCTTCGTCAAGGAAGAAGTTTGGAATAGTCATAGTGACTGGATCAGAGCGCATTAAAATGGCGTCGTCTGTGGTAACAGATGACCGACCAATCTGTCCTAATCAGTGAATCATGGGCTGCCTTATCGGCAAACCAGTTCATCGTCTGAAAATTTCTCGTGAACCTAGTTTGTCGTGGTCAAATTCGGATGTATCAGCCGGTCTTATGTGGCCTATGTCCCAGGTTCACTCTACGCTAGATGAATCATAAATGTGGCGTAGGTGTAGCCAAATGAGCACTGAAACTGAGCAGGAGCAGACATTGGGATTGGTCAGGTTAATTTCACCAGTTTGTAGTCAAGGTAATACGCTATTCATTCGGTATATGATGTCCGTCTTGTCGCTGTTTTATAAGCCTGAACACAATGCATATCCATTCATATTTGGCTTCCCAGTTCGCTGCTTTAGTTTTCACGTACCAATGTCATCAACCATGCTTAATATCTTCCCGCTAGATGTATCCAGGTGGTCACTATTCTGAATGCACTGTTCGACCCGGACCAATCAGCCTGATGCTTTAGGCGTCGAGCCTCACGGAGTTTGTATTCTGATGATGAGCGATCAGTTGGTTTGTTAATAAGTTAGCTTGCGCTGAATTAATCCGGATGAATTGATAGCGCGTCATGGTAATGCACTCACCTAGGATATCCGATTTCGATTTGCACAATGTAGTTATTCTCCAGAAAAATTGCTAGCCTTGATAAGTTAGTTGGGTATTTTATAGGCGGATCGTACCATGTCTACCCACTTGCCCATTTCGATTTCACATCAGCTCACTTTGGCTTACTTGATAAAATCGTGTCACGCATAGCAGCTCGTTGCTCTCCTCTCACACCTAACCACGTTTCTGACAAATTCGGTGATTTCTCTTCAGAATGCTTTTGAACGAGGTCAGCAACAGGGTATTCCGTGTGTCACCGGTATGCCTTGGTTCAACCTGGTAAAATTTGGCACTACACTATAATGATTACAGTATTAGTTAACGCCTGTCCACCGCAGTGACTTTTAGCGTGAACACTGACATGATATGGCTGTATTTGACAGCATATAAGTAACTATAAACACCATAACAGAAGTAAATACAATCTTTAACTTAGTCCTCAAGAAAGGTTGTAGTTCGTACACGCTGTTATCTTCTATTGCTGGTTTTTGTCCTTTCCAAAAGCTGCTCCTTGGGGACAGATAGCCTTAGCGGTGATTTTCAAGGGTACCAATCGGATTCAATGCTTTTTCATTTTCCCGCACTTAGCTACGACGAATGTCTTCGGGTTTGGGACCTACGAATGGTGCGCACAAGTACAACAGGTAGCGTGACTGCACCATCTACTCCTCTGAGTAGTTGCACTGTCGGTGGCGGAGTTTGGCGTCATAAATGGAGTCCATCGGGTGACTGGATTCTTGTTGCAGCCATGAGTGCGGGATTCGCGACCGCCAAGCTAATTTCTCCTACGGTGACGGACGCTGCAAAAGGCGACTGTTTCACAATGTCAATACATCCAGCTGGACGATTTCGTTCATCCGCTCAGTTGGCCTACGGAATCGATTGGGTTGAACAACCCACCTTCCACGCATCAACAAGAAGGTGGATCGTTGGAACTTGTTCCTTCTACGATAACCGCGTTGATTTTTCTCAGCTACTCATGACTCCGACTTGAATAACTCGATATATTATGCTTTTGTAATATTGCCTCATCTGGCGTTCACTTTGTCACAAACTCCCTGAGTCACGGGAGCAAATCTTGGCCAGGGCACGTAGGAATATCCCTGCTGCAGAGTATATAACGTAGGCCAAGGAGTTCTACCATAAAACGGCTTTTAATATTTTTGAGCACAAGTCTAAGCTGCTGAAGTAGGGTCAAACCAGGTAAAAAAAATGCTCGTTCCACCTCAAAACGGTGATAAACTCATCTGCAACGATGCCGGATTCGCTTCACTTACCGGTCCATATTTTCATTCTTTCACAGTAGCAATCAACCTCAGGTTATCCACGGATCCCGTTCGTTGCCACATTTGCCCTCTTTTCATTCAACCAGACTAAACTGCAGGCAAAGAATGGTTACTTTTCATTTCTACTCATCATGCCTCAACATTCTCAACTTAACTCAGCCCCCACTGTGTAGCTACAGCCAATCCTGTGCTTACAGTCAATTTTGACCACTTTTTCGCCTTGTGGGACAGTAGTTTACTCCACGCTCATCTCACATAATGATCATCATCACCAGCATCGACAGCATGACATCAGTGTTCAACACCGATGCTTCACTGCCGTACTTTGTACGAGGGCTGGGATACTATCAGGGCGCCCACATCTAGACACAATGATCATTTGAAATTCATTGCCGCTGCTGGTCCGAGGCATGACCACAGCAGCCTCTCACATCCAAACCGCTTTGGGGTGAGCAACTGAAGCTTGGTAACGCCTGTTTCTATGGTCTCGGAAGTATAGTTGCGTCGAGCGTATACCTCTGGGTCAATAACACCTGATGTGAACTAGGTATCACCAGCTTTTTCTAAAAATGTATCCGGGTCGGGTGCGTTTGGTTTGCCGCTCATCCTGATCGACATCACGGCCTGTCAATTTTTCATCTTCGGATTTTCAGCTAACTGGTACACGGCCCCCTGTTGTCGAGTCTTATTCTGTCTGCTGTGCACTCCAATAGGTACGAAAAATCATATCATAAACGAGAAATTCAGCTGGGTTCCAGATGAGTCTCCCATCCAAACTAAATAGGTATGCAAGTGAGCGCACTTCATAAGAACACTCGTTCATTTTCTTGATTGTGGTTAATGTTTTACATAGCGACAGGAGTTTTCGTGTTTGTGTTTCGCTGGACCGGTCTGTGAACGGCTAATGTGGTGTGATGAAGTATCCAAAATGTTAGCGCGCGCTGGCCAGTGGAATCCCCCGGAAGAGGTGAAAGCCGTTTTACTGGAGAAACCTACACGATATGCCTGATTTCCATTCTGATTTCACTTACTCATATCTTCGTCACGGGGTAAGCGCATTACACTACGAAATTTCGGAAATGACGATGTTGATCGGATGGCCAATTATGCGGAGCTCTTGATTTTTACTGACAACTAATTTGGCGCTGATAGCAGCGTAAGTGACGCCACTCAGGAATCGCCGGCGGACAGATCCGCATTTGGCGGTGCAGAGCTCGCGGTGATACGTAATGACGTCATGCTACTAGACCTTTGCGAGTAGTAAGGAAATACTTCAAAGTCAAGGTAATCGACAAATAAATGCCGTTAGCTCGTAACATGCCACATGATCTCACCCACCATGCACTTAGTTGACCAGTATTTGAGTCGATGAAAAATGAGTAAATATCACATACAAGTAATAAGTTGGCAACACATTCGCTTATTGATGAAATGCGCCTATTGACCTTCGATTAGTTGTAGTGCTTACAACCAACCTAAGGATATCCGTTGATGTTAGACCAGCTCGTCTAAATGGTCGCACCATATTATCTACTCGGTTATGTGCATTGTAGGCCACTCACTGAATTTCTCTATAACGCTGTCTGTTTTGCCTTTCTCTGGGCTAATTGGGCGGACATGGCCCTCCTAACCATTCTTATGCTTCAACTTACGTGCGTAAGTTGAATTAAATGCTCATTTTTTGCGGAGGCACGAGGCTTTGTGAATGATAATTTTTGACAATTTGTTGCGCGAGTGCCGTTTCTGGATATGAAGTAGGGTTATCGAAAAGCTCACGAGTGGTCTAAATTAAGGGCATCATGTTGTCGGGTTTTTCGCTGGGTTGACCTATCAACAATCGTTGGCAAGCGAATTTCAAACGTTCTCGTCTCACCATTATGGGCGATTCTATTCATCGCATACTGGACTGCTGTGGATGTGAAACTCAAATTAATTTCACAATTAAATGTTCGTAGGTAGTACAGACGCTACCCAATAGTTTGGTTAGGTCGATGTTCCTCAGAACGCCGATGATACTTTCTAATTTAACCGGGACGGGAGATCTGACCAGAATCCAGGAACCGATTTTGCTCCGTTTGCGATTCATCAGGTGGGCATGGCTACCGGACATTCACCAGTCCGTTTGCTTGTTGGGACTTTTAAACGTATTTGCTAAGGGTGTTGGAAAAGTAATTTGTTGTGGCTTTTAATTAGTTGCTATGATAGGCTTCCTTATTGAAAAGATGTCGTGGCATGTTGTTGAAAAATCCGCCTCAAATAAAAAGGCGTTCCCAGAAACAGACAGCTGTTTCCCCATCTAGTACTATATAAAAACTAAGTCGAGCTAAATTGACCTTTCAAATTAACACCGATGGTCGCTTGGCAACGATATTCATTAGCCACTCCCTCATGGGAGTAACCATTTACTTTGGGATTGAAGAGGCGTGCTCGTGCTAAATTGTCCCTAAAACGTGTAAACAAGCGGAATGGTTTGTAAGCAATCGGGTCTTCTTTCATATTCTCTCGTGTTCAGCCGATTATCAAGGTTCGCATCATTTGGGCTGAAGTTAGCACAAATCTCTTTGTCACGTGATCAACTTACGGCGTTTTACCGTATCCAGTACATTTTATGAAAGAACACGGAAAAATATAGAAAAGGCGTACAAGTGTTTCACTCTCGAGAGGGTCACGGTGATTTTGTAGGTCAATATCCGAATAGGGGTATGTCTTATGGCCTGCTTAACAATGTTATTATTTTTGTTAAACTCCACGTACGGTGGAAATGCTACCACATCAGTGAAGTTCGATTCTTGCAAGGGTCTGCACTGCTCTTGGCTGTGGCGTTTTTTGTAGAGCGCTGGCCTCATGAGTACACTAGACAGTCCCAATTCTCTAACGCCAACATAAAGAGACCGAATAGTTGCGTCAATGATTTGTTGTACTCATCAGAATGGTACTCGTCAGAATGGTTTATCCCTGAATCTGAAGGGACGTGTTTATCAAGCTACAGTACGGGCTGTCTTGTTGTATGGCTGTGAGACTTGGCCTATTCGAGCAGCGGAACTGAGACGTCTTCAGGTGTTCGACAATCGTTGTCTCAGAACCATCGCTCGTGTGGGTTGGTGTCGGCGAATCCGTAACGAGGCAGTTAGAAAGCGCGTTTTCCATTGAAGAATGTGTCCAGCACCAGAAGCTGCGTTGGTTGGGACATGTGTTACGTAAGCCGAACCATCGTTTGCCGAAGAGAGTGCTGTTTTCCATGCCAAACTCAGACTGGCGTAAACTGAGAGGTGGCCAACCCATGACCTGGCAGAGGAGTATGAAAGAGATCACGAAACGCTTGGGTGCTGTCGGTGCTACTCGCCTTCCAGGATGGGGACCGCGTGATCCTCACTGTGCCTGGTTGGAGACACTAAAAGATATGGCTTCCAGTCGATATCAGTGGCGTTCTTGTTGTCAGTTTCTATCCAGATCGCCTGAGTGAATGTCTGGAGGTATAGGTACCTCGGAATGATTGTGGTAAGCTAGCACTAAGTTCCTTCCCCGTCCACCTTTAATCTTTTCTTCACAATAAGGCTTTCAAATAAGTCATGGTTGTACGGCAGTGAAGCATCGGTGTTGAACACTGATGTCATGCTGTCGATGATGATGATGATGATGTACTCATCTTAAATCAGGCAATTTTATCAGCTTAATGACAGTTTGAGGAGATTTAGTAATTTCCAATTGAGATTTCCTGTCGGTGAACCCAATATGTGCTGAGAAATTTAGAAGCACTGCACAGCTGTTATATCCTTGTTGAGAATCATCAACAGCGCGGGTTTTTCGAAACTCAGAAAGTCTCCAACCCGTGACCTTCCCGCCAATACGTGAACACTTAACCTTTTGACACCAAGTAGTTGAACAGCAGTTCGATTGGCTCTCTTAAACAGGATATAGTGCCACTTATCGTTCAGTTGCAGAAGTCACGTCGTGTGACCACTTGTTGACTGGTTGCGAGTTCCATTCACCGTAGAGATTCCCGAGATGCACACTGGTGATGGTTTTAAATAAGGATGAAGGAGCTGTACGATGGCTCTAGAATTTTCAAAATAAACCGGCTTCACTTCTCAAGTGCAAGTTGTATTATTTGCCTGTACATTCGGAGAACCCCAAATCCACGACTACTCGGACTGCTCTGAGTGAGCTTTTTTCTTCGCGAATCGTTCAGATGTACCACCCTTTTGTTTCCTAGCTGCCATGTGGCCCGAAGGAAGCACGAGGGCTGGGATACTGCCAGGCTTCCCAAGCCTAGACAGGGGAAGTCGAGAGCCAGAAGTCTGGTTCGAGCCACGGACCTTCCGGTCAGTAAATCCACGCGAATACGATTGCATCATTTATTGATGAAGTTTAGGGCACCTCTGTAGTTCAGGACATACGTAGAAGGTGAGGAATGGTAGGTATTTGTTTCGAAAACTCACGTTGTCATCGGAACTATAAGAATATGAATTTCAGCTGAGTCGCTAATCATACGTACCTTCGCAATTTCAAACCGCAAGATTCGAAGGGGATTTACTGCAACGCACACATTTGCAGCCTGACATATTCAAATATCGATTCCCTGAGAGCATCCACTCCTCAGTTTACAACTGTGGTTCTAAGTTTTTCATCGTGATTATTCACAATGTGTAGGCTGATATTTCTATCACTTTTTTTTAAAGAAACCTTGTTAAACGGTAACGTAAAAGATAAAATTTGAAAAGGACTCGTTCACAGATAGATAT